AAGTTCTAGGCATATAGTAGACACTCAGTTATCTTCCCTTGCCCTTTCTCATATTTTTAACCTCATTCATTCTTTTTTTTTTTTTTTGTACCAGGAATGTAATTCAGGGCCTCATGCTTGCTAAACATGTGCTGCACCACTGAGCTATATTCCTGGCCCAAACATTGTTTCTCATCTCTGATCTGCCTCTGGCAACTCCAAAATTAAGAGTTTTTAAATACCCTTGTCTATTCTTCCCGTGTATTCTCTCATAATCATAACACCAAATAAAAATATTTCATAGTATAGAGTAGGCCAGCCAAGTAGTCAGTATCCACTACAACATGGTAACTCACAAGGATTATTTTATTTGGTTATGCTAACTTTGTTTGTATGAGTGAATGATGTGGATTTGTATGTGTTCTGAGGTGAATGTGAACTCACCCCAATTCTACAAATCCTGAGTGCTAATTATGATCTAGGCACTATAGAAATACAGAGTAGAAGGGAAATAGTGTTTTTGATTGGTTTAAATGTGTAGATGTACTTTGGCTGAAGAAAGGTAGGACTCATAAAATCAAGGAGTTTATAAGCCAGTAATGACGGGCTGCCACCAGCTCATGTTGACTCACGATAGATGATAAATTTTAAGAGGAAACTTCATGAGCTGATTGTTAAACACAGCCATTTTTATATTTATCTTGTTGTATTTATTTTTTTAAGACAAGGTTTCACAATATGTTTCAGGCTGGCCTTGAGTCACTATATAGCCCAGGCTGGCCTTGAACTCACTACTGCCTGAGCCTTGCAAGTGCTGGGATCACAGATATGTATCACCAGGCCTGGTAAACACAGCCATTTTTAAAAGTTAAATTTTTAAAAAGTTAAATCATATAAATTTACAATTGAATAAAAAATATGTGTGGGGTATTGTTTTGTTTTGTTTTGTTGAGGTAAGGTCTCATTATGTATTTCAGGCTGGTCTTAAACTCATGGTGATTAGCCTCAGCCTCCTGAGTGCTGAGACGACTGGTGTGTACCACCATGCCCGGCCCGTTGAATTACATATTATATTAAAGGTAACCCTTGCTTTGTATGGGCCTTGTTCTGAAATGCATGCAATTTAGTTCCACAATTTAGTTGAATAACACAGCCCTTTAGCAATGCAATCCAAATCTCACTTATCACAATATACTAACTAAAAGTAATGTATTGAATGGCCGGGTATGGGTGCTGTAGTGGTAGAGTGCTTGCTTAGCATGAACAAGACCCTGGGTTCAGTCCCCAGTACTGCAAAATAATGATGATGATAATAGTAATAATAATAACAACAAAATTGCACAAATTATAAACTTTGCTTCTAACTGTTCAAACACTGTATGATAATAAATGCATGTCATGATCAGTCACACTGCTTCAGTTTGTTAGTGACTGATCACACCACCTCTGTTACTCAGTTCTTGTATTGATAGCAAAGCATATATTGTTTTGCCCCCTTTTCTATCAACTATTCTACCCCAAATGATGTATTACAAACATAATGCAAAAAGGAAATTGGTAAAAAGCAAAAACATAAACGGAGCAAAGAAATAAAAAATGGTAATGATTGAAGTAAAACTTGAAATGGAATTACAATAGAATAAAGTGAAATTATAAACCAGGTATGCTGGTGCACACCTATAACACCAGCACTTGAGAGGCTGAGGCAGGAGGATCATTGCAAGTTCAAGGCCAACCTGGGCTACAAAGTGAGTTCAAGGAGTTCAAGGCCAATCTAAATTGCATAATGAAACCCTGCCACAAAA